CACTTTTCCGTACCTGGTCCGCTAACCTGGGTTTGGAAAAGTAGTAACCGAACATCTATTTCGACCTCCAAATCCCTGCATTGAATGTCCCTTATGACGCCCGGATTCTCTGCCATCTTCCAGGATCTACCGGAACCGTTTCGATTCTCCTAGATCTATGCGGCTCCTATAAAAGGTATCTTATTCTTCTTGTCTCTTCCACTGGTCTGCCATGGGTCGCTCACCTCTAAAAGGGAAGCGAATCGATTTTGGCTCTCCTCGACGTCCTCTTTCTTCGAAGCAGACTCGACGTGAGAAGGAAGGCAAGAAAAAAGCTTCTCGTCCGACTTCTCGGAGATCTCCAGCTGGTGCCACCTCCTCAGCTTCTCAGCCGCCGACCCCACCTCAGCGAGAAGTCGTGCTGCCTTTGCTTCGTCCACCGACTCCAACAACTGCCAGGGTGACTTCTCAAGATGGATCCTTTGTGGAGGTGGCCGTCCCTGAACAATTGACTTTCCGCATGACGTTCTCTATTCCTCTGGACGACCCCGACGGGCCTGTCACGGGTCTGATGGATGATGAGGACTACACTCGTTACTTGGAGACATACCCTGATGACGAGGAACCTGTGGATCTGCCGCTCATGCCTTCTTTCTGGGATTCGTTCTGCCCCTATCCCCCTGGGCCATCGGGGGGAAGGTTCTTTGGAAGCGACTCCTCCTCCCCCAGCGAGTGATTATCTAGGCCGGATTCGGCCTCATATTTCAGAGGGGTCTTCTTTAGGAGCATTTTCATTATCCTTATTGTAATAAGCTCCTTACTACTTGTACCCTTCTTCTTTTGCCAATAAAATGCTATTTTTCGCCCTGTCTTATATTTCGTGTTTTGTCGTGTACCCATCCGGACGACTGGTCAAGGAGTCGGTCACATCGTCAGTCCTTTTTCAATCTGACATCTGCAAGATTCCCCGTATCTCGGGTGAATCTAATCCTCTCTGCGCGGCGTGCAAATCTCGCTCTTCCCGGGCGGATTTGATGGAACTAATCTCTGACAGAGATTCGCGTCATCCGTCTAATCCGGCTCAGTTATGTCAGTTACGATTCCTTCCGTGATTACCGCCTAGATATTCGCTCCCCCTGGGCTATATATGGACCCTTCACGGTTGGTGCAAATCACAATACCCCTCATTTTCGAAGGCACCAAGCTATGAGTTACAGAGATGGTGAATGCCGCTGGTCCATCCGCAACCAGGAGCACGCTTGACTGGAAAAACTGAAGCAAAAGAGGCTGGCTAATGGAGGGCGTTTGGTGGGCGACTCGGCTTCAGACCCCATTGTGGTGCCCCCGGACATGCTGGACCTGATGTGTAGGGAGCCTATCGATGTGGAGATGGAGCCGGTGGTGGAGGATCCAGAACCAGAGGTGGAAGAGAAGTGGGAGGCTCCTCCCCTTTTTGGTGTCGCCATGTCGCCGAGTGCTCTGGAGAGGCCTCTGCAAATGATTGATGACGGGAAGCCGGCCGTGTATCTGGATGAGGCGCCGGATCCAGAGCCGAGTCCTCTGCCTTTCCGCCCTCAGTACTTCCTGGAGGGTCCTCCGACTACTCGCCCGTCAGGAGAGAAAGAAGCCAAGCCTTGATCTGCTTTTCTCTTGTAACTTACGTCAGCCGAGTCCTAGGCCTTGTAATTTCCCGTACTTTATTAAATAAACTATGTGTCTTTGTGTCTGACTCTTATTTTTCTATACTTTTTTGGACCGACCTCCGGCCTATGTGACCGATTCAGTGTCCTTTTACGGCGAGACCTTCTTGGCGAGGGAGTCGCCAAATCTGATTGCCGACCTCATGACCGAAGTCTCTTCGCCAACTTGACCTGTGTCATCTGATGGGCCGGGTTCTACTGGGTCTTTCTAGAATCTTCTAGCTCATACTCGGTGGGCCCAGAGGCCGTGGCCTACGATGGGCTTCCGGCTTAGCAGGCCGAGTCACTGTCATTCGACCCTAACCTAGGGCAGACGCACCGTTTGCAGGCTAGCCCTAGGCCTGAACCGTCGCTCCGTCTTTCGAGGCATTAATTGCGGCGTCCTTTCACCTCTTGTCACCCTTCTTCCCTCCAACGCGGAGGCGACACGTGGCCATCCGTTGGGATTCTCCCCCTTTTAAATAGCCATCTTCTTCCTCTTCCTCTCACTTTCTCTCAACTCTTCAAACTCAACTCCAAGCATTTCCGGTCTTTTCTGTATTTTCCTCAGTCCACGCTCAGGTTGGTAAATGTCTTCCTCTTCTCATTCTTCTTCTTCTCGTCGTCGCTCGATTGATAACCCAGCGGCGACTTCCCCGTCTTCTTCTTCTCCTTCTTCGTCTTCTTCTTCTCCTCCCCGTCGCATGGAACTTCCGGCGGACCTTCCATCGACGTCTTCTCTTCCTCCGACCCCCTCTTCTTCGGGGGCGGTTACTCCGATGAGCCCCGCTCCTCTAACGACGGTGGCAGCTCTGCCGGGCGGTGCCGGAAGGCCGCGAGGCGAGTTCAATTCAATCGTCCGCCCTTCTGGGTCACCGTCCGTCGTTACTGCGGCGGACCTGGAAATGGCCCAATTTCTATTTGGGCCTTCGGCCGTGATTCTTGCTCCGGAAGGCCGGCAAATTTACGACCCACCGGAGGGTTATGTTGGCATTCATTTGCACTCGGTTGCCTTTGGCTTCCGAGTTCCTCCGTGTCCTTTCCTCTCTCTTTTTTATCGTTATTACAACTTAGTTCCGGGCCAACTAGTGCCCAATTCTCACCGACTCCTCACCTGCTTCATAAACCTCTGCCATTGGTGGTTGTGTGAGCCGGATCTAGACCTGTTCCGGTATCTTTTTACCGTGAACAAGGTCGGCTCACACTTGCCGGGTTTTGTCTAAGTTGCCGCTCGTCCGGGGAGACATCTTTTCGAGGGGTAGTCCGACTCCATTAAGGGCTGGAAGCTCCTCTACTTCTTTGTCCGACCTGCTTTCTCTTCCTTCACCTTTCCGACCCTGTGGCCGGCCGCTCTATTCAAGCCTTGCTCTCGGTGTGCCGTCTTTACTAACGATGCGGTCCAGGGCGGCGAGTTCTTGAAGGGCTTTGGGCCGTACTCCGTCAAGTACTAGTCTCGAGTCCGGGCCATGGCCAAGCGCGGCTTGCTGCCGGAGGGTGTGGCCACCGTAGGTAGTTTTTATTGCCATCCTTTTCCCGCTTCTTTTTGCTTTCTCTCAACTCTTGGAACTCGGAATACTTATGGCTTTCCTTTCTTTCGCAGGTCCATACGACTCCGAATCCTCCAGTTCCGACGAGGCTGCTGTACCGACTCCAGAGATGGCGGACAGAGCTGAAAAGATGAGGCGTCGGCTGACCCAGCGCGCTTCCGGCACTGCTGCTGCCTCTTCCTCCCAACCGTCGCCGGCTCCAAGGTCGACTCCTCCACCATCTCGCGACGTGGTCGATCTGACGCCGTCGCCCGTCGTGTCGTCGACTCGATAGCCGCCTCTTCCTTCGTCTGAGAGTCCCAACTCCAAACGGCCGGCCGAGCAGACGGACACGCCGGCTCCGAAGAAGATCCGGTTGAGCCACGAGGTGGACGAGGATGCCCAGATCTGGCAAGGCAACTCCTTTGTCCGCAAATGGGCTGCAAACGTCCTTCTTCCTGAGGATGTGGCGACGACCGGCGCCCTGGGGGACGAGTACATCGTTGAGGCCTCGCTACGCCAGTTGTACCACGTACGTGTTTCCGACTCGCCTCTATTTTCCGTTCTTTTTCTTTCATTTTCTGACTTCCCGTCGCCTTGCAGAATCTCACCTTCCAAATGGAGATGAGCCGGCGACTGAGAGAGTATAAGACCGGGCTGAAGTCTATGGCTGTTCGGGTGCACCAAACGGAGGAGGCCTTCTTGGAGGAGCAAGCTAAGCACGCCAAGGCGGTGGAAGTGCATAACTCCGAGATGGTAAGGGTCACCCGTCAGTGGGAGGAGGAGCGATACAAAGTGGCGACCATCGCCGCGACCTCGGTGGAGGACTACAAGAAGTCGGCGGCCTTCGAGGCAAACGTGAAGGCGGCGATAGAGGCCCGGCAGAAGGAGATCGCCAAAGAGTGGCTGGGGACGCCGGAAGGTGACGACTTCCTTCTGGATCTGGGCGAGCGCGACTATCGCCTTGGCTTCCCCGAGGCGCAGACAGAAATCCACTTCGCCCTGCAGGTCCGCGACTCCTCTTTTACCCCCGAGAGCTGGGGCCTCAAGCCGGTGATAGACGTTCTCCCGGCGGCTGAAGGACCGGCGGCGGCTGCTGATCCGGCGGCTCTCCCTGCGGCGTCTCATCCCAATCTCACTGAGTCCTCCCCTCAGGCATAGGACCCTTCTTCTGTTCCCCCAGCTGGACCAACGGCAGGGGCACAAGTTGAAGGGGTCGATGTCGACACCCCTCCACAGTAGCTTAGGGCTATTCTTTTAGGATATCCCCTTTTTGTAAAGGCTGGCCTCCTTCTCGGGCCTTTTTTAATTTTAATAAAATTTCCCTTTTCTCTTTCCTTCTGCGTTGTCTCGAACTTGATTAACTTCCTTAGGGTTCATGAAATCGAAAAAATATTTCTAAGGCATCGGGCCCTTCTGACTTTGAGAGATGACATAGGCTCAACGCCCTGTTGACTCTTTATACATCCGCCGAGTCCCTCAACCGAGGCGACTCCTCTTGTCTTTTTCACGAAAACGACTAAGGGTCTGGGCCCTTGTTTCCGAACTTTTCTCGCCGAGTCCCTCAGTCGAGGCGACCCCTTAGGCTTTTTCTTTCTCAGAAACATTTTAGGGTCAGTGCCCCATTGTTTCTTTATATACTCGCCGAGTCCCTCAGTCGAGGCGACTCCTCTTGGCTTTTTCACGGAAACGACTAAGGGTCTGGGCCCTTGTTTCCTAACTTTTCTTGCCAAGTCCGGGCGATAGTTATCAGTAATCCGTACTCTTTTATTCAAGTCTTTCAGTACCCTCGGGCCTATACATGGCCTAACCTTTTCTACTGATAGAACTTCTTCAAGTGGATGACGTTCCAGATTCGATCCACAGGCTTGCCTTCCATAGTTTCAAGCTTGTAAGTGCCGGCCTGGACCACCGCGGCAATGCGATAGGGTCCTTCCCACTTTACCACGAACTTGCCTCCTTCCGCGGGTTGGCTCGCTTGCCGGTCTCGTAATACAAGATCGCCGACCTGGAAGGTTCGTGGGCGAATCCTTCGATCGCGATATCTTTTTACCGCTTGTTGATATTCGACCATCCGAGCACTCGCGTCTTCTCTTCTTTCTTCTAGGAAATTTTTCTCAATTCGAAGACTTTCTTCATTCTCCGTGTCGGAATAAGTGCAGACCCGGTGAGTGGGCTCGACCACTTCAATTGGGACCTTAGCTTCAAAGCCGTACGCGAGGGAGAATGGGCTCTCTCCAGTTGCTCGCCGCTGCGTAGTGCGATAAGCCCATAGGACTCGGTCAAGCTCATCCACCCAATTTCCTCTGATATCTTCCTATTTCTTTCGGATTCCATCCACTATGGTCCGATTCACATTTTCGACTTACCCGTTGGCCTGCGGGTACACCACGGATACCTTGGTATGGCGGATATTGTGTCGGCGGCAGAAGTCAGCAAACGCCTGGCAGTCAAACTGTCGCCCATTATCGCTGACAATATGCTCGGACAAGCCGAAGCGGCAAATCACCCTCTTCCATAGGAAGCGTCGGCATTGGCACTCGGTGATAGTGGCCAACGGTTCAGCCTCAACCCACTTGGTGAAGTAGTCGATAGCTACGACACAAAATTTCAGGCCCCCGGGGGCTGCCAGTAACGGCCCCAACAAGTCGATTCCCCACTTAGCAAATGGAATAGCCGTGGTGACCGGCGTGTAGAAGGTAGCCGGCCGAGTGTCCTTTCTGGCGAACGCTTGGCAAACGCCACATTTGGATATCCACTCGATGCAATCTCACATCATAGTCGACCAATAATATCCCTGGACGACTAACTTTCGGGCGAGCGTGTGGGCGCCCTGGTGTGTGGCGCAGATGCCTCTATGAGCCTCGTCCATTATTTTTTCGGCCTCGGGCCTGAGCAAGCATTTCAACAAAGGACCTCCGAACGACCGTTTGTATAGTTGCCCATCAATAATTTCGAAAGAAGGGGCTTTTTGTCGAACCCTAGCGGCGACTCCTGGGTCTTCCGGTAATTCGCCTGTTTCCGTGAATCGCCGGATGTCCTCTATCCCGAACATCTCGGGGTTCTTCTCTCGGTCCCATTCCTCGCCAGTCACCTGCTTGACTTCTACTGTTGTTTCCTCGATACTTGGTCGATCTAACTCCTCCTTTTGGCAGATCTTCACAAGGTGATCCGGTACTCCCTCCAAGGCAATCTTAGACAATATGTCGGCTTCCACGTTGTCTGCCCGGGAGATGTATTCTATTTCGTAAGCTCCGAATTTCTTTAACATTTCGACCGCCCGCTCTTTATATAAAGTCATTCGTGTATTCTTAGCCTCACACGTGCCGGAGATCTGCCCGACTACCAGCCTGGAGTTAGTCTTGATTCTCAATCGCTCAACTCCTAAGGCCTTGGCGAGCTGGAGACCATTTAGCACAGCTTCATATTCGGGCCCGTTGTTGGATGTCGGAAACAGGTAGCTTAAGGCGTAGTATAGTCGGAACCCCTCTGGGGAGATGAGCACAACTCCACCCCTGCAGTGTCGTTGACTCGACGCTCCGTCCGCATGCATTTCCCACGACTCGCCTAAACTGTCCTCTGTGGCGTGTTCCTTTTCTTCTTCGCTCGCCGTGCACTCGACCAAGAAGTCGGCCAAGGCTTGACCTTTTATGGAAGGCCGGGGCTGGTACTCAATCCCATACTGGGTTAGTTCCATGGCCCATTTCACTAGTCGGCCGGACGACGAGGGGTTTCGCAGGACGCTCCCAAGCGCTTGGTCAGTCAGCACTCGGATGGTGTGGGCTTGGAAGTAAGGTGCTAGCTTTCGCACGGTGATCACCAACGTGTATACAATCTTCTCCAGGGCGTATAACGCGACTCGGCGGCCTTCAGGGAGCGGCTTATGTAATAAACCGGGTGCTGAACACGCTCTTCTTCTCGGACTGGCACCGAACTCACCGCCTTAGAGGAGGCGGCTAAGTATAAAAATAAGGGCTCGCCCGCCTGGGGAGTAGACAACACCGGGGGTGTTGAGAGATATTATTTCAACTCTTTGAACGACTGCTGACACTCGGTGGTCCAAGCGAATCCCTCCTTCTTCTTCATGGCCTCGAAGAAGGGCACCGTCTTATCCGCCGCTTTGCTCAGGAAGCGGCTAAGGGCGGCCAGTCGACCAGTCAATCGTTGCAGGTCTTTGATGGAGCTGGGAGGCTGCATGTCGACGATGGCCTGTACCTTCTCAGGGTTAGGCTCAATACCTCGCTTGGTGACCATATAGCCCAAGAACTTTCCACCCTGCACGGCGAAAGCACACTTTTTGGGATTCAACCGGAGATTATATCTTATCATCACTTTAAAACAGTCGGCCAGATCTTCCGCATGTTTGCTCTCCTCTCGGCTCTTGACGAGCATGTCATCGACGTACGCGGCCATTGATTTTCCCAACAAGTGCTGGAATAGTCAAGCCACCATTCGCGTATATGTAGCTCTGGCATTCTTAAGCCCAAAGGGCATGACTCGATAGCAATAGACTCCGTCCGGCGTTAGAAACGCGGTCTTTTCTTCGGCTGCCGAGTGCATGAAGATCTGATGGTACCCTTTGAAGGCGTCCATGAAGCTCAGCAAGGCTGACCCGGCGGTCTCATAAACCAATTGGTCAATCCTCGGTAATGGAAACGGGTCCTTAGGACAGGCCTTATTAAGGTCGGTATAATCGACGCACATTCGCCACGCCGGGGGCTTCGGTACAAGAACCACATTCGCCAACCACTCTGGGTACTTAACCTCTCGGACATGTCTGGCTACTAGTAGCGTGCTTACCTCCTTTTTTACGAATTCTCTCTGGTCATTGGCCAGGTACCGCTTCTTTTGTACGACTGGTCGATGCTCACGGTCTACGGCGAGTCGGTGCGAAATAATGGATCGATCGACACCGGGCATGTCCTCTGGACCCCAGGCGAAAACCAGCTGGTGTTCCCGAAGCACTTTATAGATTTCTTCTCTTACCTCCTGAGGGAGACCGACTCCAATTCGGACCCGCCTGTCCGGCTGCTCAGGATCAATCTCCACCTCTTCCAATTCAACAGCAGGCTCGGGGCGAGGTATCATTGTCTTCTTTGGGGGCCTTTCCGTGATCTCATGGACCTGCATCTCTTGCTTGCCCATTCCTCGGCAGGCTTGCAAGTAGCAGTCGCGGGCGACCTTCCGGTTGCAGCGCACCGTACCTATTCCATTTGGCGTGCGGAATTTCAGGCAGAGGTGCTCGATTGAAATCAGAGCTCCTAGATCCTCTAGACCCGGTCGGCCGAGTATAGCATTATGCGAGCAGGCCAGATTTACCACGATGAATTTCATACTGAGTTTCTGTACGTCTGGATAACTGCCAATCTCAACTGGCAGAGTGATGGATCCGTTGACACCAGCCCACCTTTCTTGTCTCGGACCCTTTCTTTGGGCCAAACATTCTTGGGCCGGGGTTCTCCGCCCATCAATGTGTGCCATTGCTTGGCTATTCATTTGATTCAAGTCATTTTGTTGTATTTGGTGAGATTTGACATGTTTTGGACTTGAATTTGAGCTTGGTGTTGAAAATCCCCGAAGGGACTTTTTGGTACAGAGGTTGTCCCCGCGGGCGGAATGACGGGTAGGGGTCCACCCACCGCCCCACCCGCGGGGTACTAGCGTGTGGAACATTGGTTCCCGCGTGTACAATGTTGGCTTGTGCGGGGATTTGTTCCTCGTGATTCTTTTGACCCGGTATTTGATGTTTTGACTTCCCGATGTTCTTTTGTGGAACTATTTGAGTGTCTTCTTGATGTTTCGTATGTCTAGAACTATATGGTAGGATTCCATGTAGGTTTTGGCGTCTTGAATCGTGCTAAGTGTTCAACCTTGTGATTCGTTGAACCATGATGAGTCTTGTGTGTTCTTCGGAACTATGTTTGTTTCACCCGTTTGATAAGCATGCTAGTTCGGTGTTGAAATGCTAGCGAGTGTTGTCTGTCCTTTTCTATTGTGGATGATAACTTGTGTTGATCATTGTTGTTGTCAGATTGTGATCCTTTCCTTGTTGAGTATGGTTTCATATCTTCGTTGTGATCTGTTGATTGATTCCTATGATGGTGTTGTGTGTGGTTGTACCTGGATTGCACGATTAATGGTATGGGACATTAGTCACCCAGGTACGGCAGTGGTCCTCGTGGTGGCCATGACACGATTATGGAGTTTGTGACCTAAGTGATGGGTTCACGTATTTCTTGGGAGGCATATGTTGCCAAAATGTGTGATTGTTACCCTCGTGTACTTTTGTTGGTGGAAATTGCTGGTGGTTTGTTGGTGGATGGGGACGACGGTCATCGGAGGAATACGGTTGGACTCAGAAGTACAGGGGTCCTGGAGGTAAAGGTCGGAACTAGCTATAAGGTTGGGGGTAGCCATAAGGTTGGAACCGGGCATAAGGAAGTCATATCAATTCGTGATGGGTGATGTCATGAAGGCAAGTGTTTCCGTTATGTAATTCTCTATTCTTGACGAGTGATGTCGCGAAGGCATGTGTTGCGAATGTGTGTCTCTTATCCTCTTGTGTTGTGCATGTCGGGTGATATTCTATTGAGTGATGGTAGAATACACGGGTGAATCTGCCGGTGGACCGTGGTCCATGGTATAACAACTCATGGATGGTCAGCAATTATATTGTGGACCGCGGTCCACAATGCATTGTGGGTCGCGGTCGTAATACGCCGCCGTTTCTTTAAGTAAAGAAACGGCAGCCGTTACAGCTTAACAGAGCAAGTATTTTTTGTGTGTTAATTACCAACTGAAGTTATAGTGTATCTAAACGGACACTACCTCACGTATTATTTTTAGATTATCAAATGAAACTGCAATTGAATTGAAATGAAACTGTAGTTATGTTGAAATGAAACTGCCGTGTATACAAAATGAAACTGAATAACAATTTCACATATTTGAGTGTATATTGCTCAACGAAACTGTAGTTATATCAAAATGATATTGTAGGTGTGTTGAATGAATCTGCAGTGTATATAAAATGAAACTGAATAACATTTCACATATTTGAGTGTATATAGTGTAATGAAACTGTAGTTATATCGAAATGATAATGTATTGTGTTTTAATGAAATTATAATGTATATAAAATGAAACTAAATAAAAATTTCATGTATTTGAGTGTAATATCGAATGAAACTGTAGTTATATCGAAATGAAACTGTAGTTGTGTTGAAATGAAACTGCAATGTATACAAAACGAAACTGAATATGTTATACAATCAAAGTTACTTTTTTGTGGATGGCGCGGAACATGTGCCGTTTCTTTTAATTAAAAGAAACGATACTTTTTTGATGTCTGAACCACAACGCATTGTGGACCGCGGTCCACAGTATAATTTGTCATGGATGGTATAATGGGCCTAGGCTATATGGACCTACAAAAGAGAGTAACTCAATCAATGAAGTCCAATGCTGGTAACCCACCAATACATGTGAAATAACATACATAGATAATGCTGGTAACCCACCATTACATGTGAAATAACATACATAGTGTAACACCCCCTAAATTCCATTCTATTTAAAGCCTTAAACATGCCGATATCTAAATCAAAACATCTAACACAGCGGAAGGCTAAAAGAGAAATATATAAATAAACTGGAAGTAAGGGGTGCTATGCCACGCTCACCTAGGGGTGAACGCACAGACAAACATCTGCATTGTTCAAATCTAAACCAATATCTCAAAACACTAAGTCTAAACCGGCTCACAGGCCACAAAACATAAGGGATGAGCTACACTAGCTGGCACTAGACCGCGCACTCGTCTAAACATCACCTGAAAGAACACATAAAACATGGGACGACGCTCGGTCAGCGTATAATGCTGGTAACCCACCAATACATGTGAAATAACATACATAGATAAGATATAAGTTTGTAAAACCATTTTCGAAACGGAATACATATATATATATATATATATATATATATATATATATATATATATATATATATATATATATAAGTCCAAAACCAAGAGTATTAGTCAACACAAGACTCAAACACACTCAACAAGAACACGGGAACACATCCCAAGACCACAAAGAACAACAACGACTCACAAGAAGTCTCAAGGTATAATCTATCATCACACAGTAGATTACGCCCGACATGCACAACTCAAAGGAATATGGACACACCCAATGGCAACACATGCCAAGGCAACACATGCCTTTGTGACTAAACACGTCACAAGAAGAGAACTCACAACAACGGCTACACAAGCCCTTGTGACATCACCCATCACGAGTTGATATGCCTTCCTTATGCCCGGTTCCAACCTTATGGCTACCCACAACCTTATTTCTAGTTCCAACTGTTACCTCCAGGACCCCTGTACAACCAAGTCCAACCTTATTCTCCCAGGAACCGTCGTTCCCCCTCCAATAGTCCCTCCAACAGAACCACTGATTTCATAGTACACGAGGGTACCGATCACACACGGCAACACATGCCCTGGATAACACATGTTATCCGAGAAATAATCACGCCATGGCC